AAGTGGACAGATTGTATATAAGTTCTACTCCCATAAAGTAGTTAAAAGAAAAAAAAAGTGTGCTCTATTATTGTGTGTGGTATTCAAGTCACAAATTCTGATGCTGATGCTTTCCTGAGCTTATTAGAAAGTGTCAGCAGAGATTTTCAAATGGCAACCACAACTCCTTAAATGGTAGTTGACAAAAAAAATGAGTGCTTATCTTCTCCCGTGATGCCACCAGGGGTAACCATTAAATTTGTCTCCTACATGGGTTGACAGCTGCTTCACAGCCAGTGTCTGGCTAACAGTGATCTTAAGATTTGTCGTTAGCATCCTGACTTGAGATATAAAGTAGTTAAAATATAGTTTTTGTTTTAAAATAAAATTTTCTTTTTTTATTATTAAGTGTATTTTATTTTTTACCCGAGGAACAAAAACATGCTATTCATACATTTACCTAGTTGGCCACAAGACTTATTCCAGGAGCAGGGAGGGAAAGTCATTTCTCTGTTTACCCACCACAGGCAACTTATGCTCCTTTAGCTAATTCTTTCGTTGTCTACCTCCTTATCTCTGGTAACATGCTTATCTTGCTTACATTTTTCATTTTAAAGCATTATCTATAGACTTCCTAAAAAGTCCGTGATTATTTAGGACCTTCTTTTTCAGGCAAGCCCACCACCATGAACCCATGCAGCCACTAAAACTGTAATTTTGATTAGATCAATATTTGGTATTAAGAGATTATGATTCTACAACATCTAGCCACAGCTGACCAAAGGTTTATACAATAATTATATGTCCTTTCCTCAACAACATTTTTGTTTTTCCTGAAAGTTGTCTTTATCCTTTTCTGTATATGGTCCTGTGACACATAATGCTTAGGTCAGCAGAGGATTGCATTTACCATGGTGAATGCTATACAGTATTGCCTAGTCATATCTTAGCCATCTTAAGTTTGTAAACTCTGATGCTTGCACAGTGAAATCACCCAATGACACATTTGTCAGAATGCATACCATTGTTAAGTCATATATGGCTGCACTTATTCAACCACAGATTTTACTTTTGTGTAAATTTGTTTTGATACACTCAAAAGATACTTGGGATTTCTATCTTGTAGAAATTTCTTCAGTCATATTCACAACTCCAATTTAGAGTGTCACTTAGATCTGGTGCATAGTTAATCTTCACCTAGGAAAAAATCCTTCTTCCTTTCTTCTGGTGCATCTCATTTCATGGATCTCAGTTCTTTCTCTTTTTTAGTTTATTCTCTCATTTTGATGGCGTATGCTTCATTGACTTCCTAAGAAGTTTGTGTGAGGAAAGCAGTTTGAATATGTGGTTTTATTTTGTATCTATACTTAATTGACCATTTGGCTTGGGGTAGAATTCCATGTTGGAACTTTTTCCCATTAAAGAAACGGTTTGGGGGCTGAGGCTGTAGCTCAGTGGTAGAGTGCTTGGCTAGCATGTGTGAGGCATTGGGTTTGACCCTCAGCACTGCATAAAAATAAATAAAATATATGTATTGTGTCCATCTACAACTAAATTTTTTTTAAAAAAAGAAACAGGTTTGGGACTTTATAAAGAAAGGTGGTTTATTTAGCTCACTGTTTTGGAGGCTGAAAGTGCAAGATTGGGTGGTACCCATCTGTTTAGTCTCTGGTGAGGGCTTATGATGGATGGCATCCCAATGGTGAAAATATGTACAGAAGAGATCACATGGTAAGACAGGAAGGAAACGAGAAATTGAAGAGCTAAGCTTGCACTTTTTATAACTACCCTCTGGCAGGAGACCTCACCAGGTTCCCTTGAGAACTTTAGCAATCCCTTCTGAGGGCAGTGTCCCCAGCAGCCTAATTACTGTCTTAATTAAAGGTCCTGCCACCTCAGTACCAACAAACTGGAGACCAAGCCTGCAGCACATGAATCTTTGGGAAACGTATCCAAACCACAGTAGGAAGACATGTCACAGGCAGAAGGCCACGAAAAGATGGAGGTAGAGACTGGCTTTACCTTGCCATAAGCCAAGGAATGCCAGGAGCCACCAGAATCTGGAAGAGACAAGGAAAAATTCTCCTCTAGAGACTTCAAAGGAAGGATGGCTCTGCTGACCTCTTGATTTTAGACTTCTGGCTGCCAAAACTGAGGGAACAGATTTATGTTGTTTCAAGCCATCTAGTTTAAATTTACTCCCAGTTGTAATCAGTTATGGCAATCCTAGGAAGTTAATAAACCTAATCAGGATTGTAAAGATTATCTTCTGTTTTGACTGGGTGCTGTGGTGCATGCTTGTAATCCAGCAGTTTGGAAGACTGAGGTAGTACAATCGAAAATTCAAGGCCAGCCTGGGAAACTTAGCGAGATCTGTCTCAAAAAATAAAAAGAACTGGGATGTTGCTCAATAGTAAAGAGTCCCTGAGTTCCATCCCAGTACCATCCCCATATGTGTGTGTGTATATATATATATCTCCACCTCCCTACTCCTAGCTGAGGTCCAAGTGTAGTCGTTCCTCTTCCTTGTCAACACGTGTATTGCCAGTCTTTTTATTTTATTCTAATGGATATGCACAGATCTCATTATTATTTTCATTTGCATTTTCCAGTGTGTCCGTTTAAATCTTTTCCTATTTTTGTAAAGTTCTATATGTCTTATTATTGAGTTATAAGAGCCCTTTTGTATTCTGGCTCCAAGTCATTATCAGATATTTATTGTGAATATTTTTCTTAGTTTGTAGCTTGTCATTTTATGTTCCTTGCTGTGCTTTCAAAGAGAAGTGTTTTTTATGGAGTTAAATTTATCCACATGAGTATGTGCATGTGTGCATGATGAGGTAATCTCTTTACTAATTTACTTTGTGATGTCTTTTTGTAGTTTGGCTAGGAATTTAACACTTTTATTGTTTTCCCTTAAGAAACCAGTTTTGTCTCATTGCTTTTTTTCTTTTTCTGTTTTTCCTTTTTTTTTTTTTTTTTTTTGGTACGGGGTATTGAACCCAGGGGTGCTTAACCACTGAGCCGCATCCTCAGCCCTATTTTGTTTTTTATTTAGAGGCAGGGTCTCACTGAGATGCTTAGTGCCTCACTTTTCCTGAGGCTGGCTCTGAACTCAGTATCCTTCTGCCTCAGCCTCCTGAGCTGCTGGGATTACAGGCATAAGCCACCGCACCTGGCTCCATTGTTGCTTTTTAATTTTATTGAATTCTGCTCGCTCTTGTGTCCTTCCTTCAGTCTACTTTAGATTTAATTCACTCTTTCTTATGATTTAAACTTAGGTCATTGTATTCATAGGCAAACATGAAAATCTGAAGGAAATGTGAAAGCAGTTATTAAAATTGAATATTTTTATCAACTTTCTTACATTTATATTACTGTTTTTCAAAGTTATTTTTATTTAATAAATTTTAAATTCTGATTCTGTAAATAATACATGGGTTAAAAGACAGACACTTCAGACAAGATTGGGTATGTTCAGGGTGATATGGCCCTAAAACAAAACAACAACAACAACAAAAAAAAACAAAACATTTTAAAGGACAAAGAGAATGGTAAGGAATTGTATTAGGATTGTATTAGGATAGGCCATAACAGATAATCACAAAATCTTGTGATTTAATCAACAGAGATATTTTTCTTGCTCGTGTGAGTTTTGCTCCACACACAGTAACTCAAAGACCCATCTGAGCTGTACCTTGTAGAATGTGTGGTCTGTCTACTCCATATGGTAGGAAGAGAGGACACTGAAGGGCATCTCTTCTGTAGTTAAATGCTTTGGTCACATGAGTCACCTCATTGTGGGATCAGCACTATAATCCACATCAAAGGAGAAAAATGAAAATCACCTATCCCATACACTGAGGTGACCCCTGCTTGTTGTCTAGCCTCGCTAACCTTCCTTGTGGACAGTTGTAGTATGATTGGTTTGGTGGAAATGACTCCTGTGGTCTGGCAGATCATTAACTAATGCTTGGTTGTGTTCTAACTCCATGGCTCTTTTATCAGATTTTCATTATGTAAATAAGACTCAGGAAAGGGCAAATCAAGAATCCCTTGATAATTGCCTTAACAACAACATGGAAATTTCAAATTTCTTCTTAAAATGTTCTTAAAGATATCTCTGGAAAAATGTACAAGTTGTAGTGGTTTTATCTATGAAAGGAACCTGGGTTAGATAGCCAATGGGAAGGATGGAGAAGTTGAAGTATTGAGTAGGGTAGGTAATTTCACTGTATACGTTTTTGTGTGTGTAATTTCAGTTTTGTACCAGGTAAATTATATGACCTTTTATTAAAGGTTGTTTCCTATATTTTCTTAATTTTTCTATACTGGGTGTTTACCATGTAATCAGATAAATACAAAACATCTGTTTCTTGAGTTATCAGAGTTATTTTTTCCATTGAATTTGAATACATAACATCAAGCAAGAACCACATTTTGAAGAGTTTATATTTAGAGGAATAAAATTATTATCCAAATTGATAGTCATGGTCTCCTATGGGTATCAGTAATTAACATAATTATCTTAACTTGGATGGTACTTTCTTAGAAAGTTCATTCACATATGTAAATTGGGATCTTTTTACATTTCCAGTTATGAGTTGGTCCCTGATTGTGTCTTACTGGAGCTTTTAAAAACACAAGCTTTTAAATCAGAACTGAGGGTGAACTTCAGCTCCACTACTTACCAGTTGGGGAAAATGTGTATACTTAACCCCAGTCTGTTTCTTCCTGGTAGGGGAAACAGACTTTTCATGATTGTTCTAAGGACTAACTAAAAGATACATAGAAATTCTAAGGACTAAAAGGCTCACTATATTATTTCTCCCACAGGCTCTTTCTACTTATCAGGCTCACAAATACAGTGACAGTGCTAGCTCCATTTTCTACACAGTAGCAGTCCAGTCCTGTTTAATGCACATGGCTTTGTTAAACTTTTCTTAGATAAAAATGAGATTATGTAGCAGTTTTTGGATTACACTAATACTTGAAGTCATTGACCTTTTTCTACTCTGCAGCCCTCATGAATGTACACAGAACTTTCCAGAAGCTACCCAATATATGTGATCTCAACTGATGAAGTGTAAATGAGAATCCCACTGTCTGCCAGTAAGCCATATACTAAAGCAATATGTGAAGTGTAAAATTTTGCCACTTTGCTCACTATATTTTTCTTGTTGGGGAAAATATAGTAAATTTTCATTTAAAAAACTTTTTTATGTTAGCATGCAGCAAGTGTCAAAGGATTTTGAGATGAAACAGAACTGATGGCTTAACTGGAGCCTGTGGGTGAGATCTGGCATGTAAAGCAAGATTTCTTTATATAGATGCCATGTTATGTGTGTCTGTTTCCCATCGTGTTTTGTGAACTTTCAATTAAATGTTCTCTTCCCTCCTTTTTGCTTGAAAGAAACTAAGAACATAAGCAGTTATGGACCATAATCCCCCAGAAAGTGAAAGTTTTTCACAGCAGGGGTCTGGAGCCAGCCACACTAGATGGACTTCATTCATTAAGATGGCTGTTGTCTAATCCCAGAAATTTGGGAGACTAAAGCAGAAGAATTGTGAGTTTGAGGCCAGCCTCAGCAGTTTACCAAGGTCCTAATCAATTTACTGAGACCTTGTCTCAAAAAATAAAGAATAGGGCTGGGAATGAAGCTCAGTGGTAAAGTACCCCTGGGTTCAATCCCCAGTACCTGCCCTTCCCCATCCCCCTGCTAAATGGCTGTTAATGGTTGTTTTGTTTTCTGTCTTCACACAGGGCTAACTCACATAACCTTTTGGTATAGTACAATGAATTCAAGGGACCAGCAGTAACATAAAATAGGAGGACCATTAGTCAAGAGGACCCCTTGGAGAGTAAGTATGATGTGTTAAAAATGAATTGGGTCAGTGAATGGTTTGTTTCCCAGAGTCTAATCCTTCCAAAGGGAGCCAGAGCACTCAGCAAGCCTGTAGAAGAGATAAGATGCCTTGTAAAGGATTTCCACAGTAACTTTTTAGGTGTCATATGAGTTGATTCAAATATACTTAAAAACCATGTTGGAAAAAGCCATATTTTATAGATTTCTGTATCACTGTAGATACTATGAATACTTTTCATGAGAAAATTAAGGGTGGGTAGCTTATTAAAGGATTTGTCTTTTTTTTCTGGGAGCCAGTTTATAGAACAAAATATTGTAACTTTGAATACGTTTAGTGGTTATTAGAGAACTGGAGTACAGATATAAACCTGGTCTCATTCAAGAACATTTTGATTGGTTTCTGTGATCCTGATACTCAGGAACCATTGTAAAATGACCCAAATTTCATTTTCCAGTTTAATTCCTTCTGATTATTTTCATTGCTTCCAGTTGTAAATTTTCTCTGAACCTTATTTTTCTTCTAATTTTATGATTCCCTTACAAACTCTATTTTAGGCTTTTCTTTCATCTGGTTCTTTTCCGCAGAGGCTCTTGGTGAGCATTGTTGATCCTCCTCCTCTGCAGACCTTTCTGAGCCCCTAGGACACATTGGGTTTTTGTAGGTATTAGCCAGCTTTTGTGGACTTCCAGTGGACTCCACCTGACTCACTGATGAAATGAAAACTCGGGAACCAGCCCTTAGATGGTGCCTATTTAGCTTTACTTGTTTTATTTTGGAATAGAGGCTATAAAAATCACATAATATAGATCATTCTTTTTACTTCTCTTAAATAATGGTGTTTATAAATATGAACCTATAGTATTTCCCTTCCTCAGTCCATTTTAAACCAACATTAGTTGGTTTAAAATGAAGCTTGTTCTTTCCTTTGGTCCCCAGACTTTACCTGGTTGATCATTCCACCTAGGCTTCTTATTCAAGGAACACCACTTCCTTGAATAAGAAGCCTAGGCATTTGCCAAGTTGTCAAGTGGGTAGCTGTTTGTGTCCTTGTACTTCCAAATCTGGCATGGAACTTCTTTAGACCAAGTCAAGTTAAACACTGTAGTATGTGTGACTATAGGGGAAAAAAATGAGTATAGGAAAGTACTAGCTTGACTGGTTCTTTTGCATTTTTATAACTATCTTTACATATGTGTGTGTGTGTGTGTGTGTGTGTTGTGCGCGCGCACACACACGCGCACGCAGATGGATCATTTGTGTATAATAAACGGTAAGTTTATGACAATAGATTTATGGCCCTGTAAGAATTCAATCTGTCCACAGCCTTCTTTCGCTCTGATTTCTTTACCCTCAAGCTTTTCACTACTCCTTTGGATTTTTTTAATCATCAGTGGTTTGCTTTTAGTCAAATTCAGTTCTTTTGCTTTTCAAACACACTATTCCTTTATTTTATCATGTAAAATTTAGGAAATACAGAAAATGTACAAGTACAGTTCTACTGTATTAATAACTTGATGTGTACTGTTTTAATCATTTTTATGCATGTATATTTATTATAAGAATTAGATTATGTATTGCTGCATAATTATATAACCTGCACTTAACATTATAAAATTTTATGAAGACATGTTTTTAACAATTAAAAAATTCACAAGGCTTAAGATTGAACAAGTATAGAAAGGATAGTTTTCAGTAGAAAACTAAATCTTCCTCCTATATTGAGAAAAAAATTTTTTGTGGGAATTTGTTGTTTCATTCTTTGCAGTATTAGGAATTGAACCCAGGTATGCTCCACCAGTGAGCTACATCCCCAGCCTTTTTTTTGAGACAGGGTCTGCCTGGGCTGGCCTTGAACTTGCCATTTTCCTGCCTCAGCCACGAAAGGAGCAGAGAAATGTTCTTTTTTTAAAAAAATTTCTTTTAAATAGTTGTACACAATACTTTTTGTTGTTGTTGTTTATTTTATGTGGTGCTGCGGATCGAACCCAGGGCCTCGAATGTGCTAGGCAAGTGCTCTTCCTCAGCCCGAGAAATGTTCTTATTAGGTACATAATAGTATATCATAATATTACTTTTAACCAGTCTCCAGAGGGTGATATTTGTTGTTCTTATTGTTTAGGTTTGGTTTGGTTTCTTGGGTGGGAATTTGCTCTTTACACAGTGATTAAACAGTATTGCAGAAATACCTTTGAGTCAACCTTTTTTTTTTTTTTAAATCTCCTTTCTTTCATTCTTTCCTAATTTCTTCCTTTCTGACTTCATCACTTTTCTTTCTTGCTTTCAAATGCAGAATGACCCAACCCTCAACTCCTACTTCTTTGAATTTCCTACCACTTCTTAAGGTCCTCAGGTATCTATTTGTGTTAAATCTTATTCTTTCCCTTTATTTTCTTCAGGGGCCATACCTGAAAGATCATTTCCAGAAAATATCCTTGTTTCCTTTTCATATGTTCTCATTATTTTTAGCTGAACCATCTGTTTTTAAACGTTTGAGCTTCAAAGAAAAAATTCATCTAGATGATGATCCTGCAGCTAAAAATAGGTGAAAACTGCTATGCTTAAGGATGCATATGCATTGACTCTTACTTTCACTGCCAGGAAGATAAAAAGGGAGGGGTGGTGGTAATGTTGTTCAGAGTCAGTGGGACTGTATGAGAACTATCATTGATTGTTCTAAGTATTACCACCAGGCTGTTATTTTAAGCATGTATTTTGGCTTCAGTAAATAAAAGTATTTCTCCATCTCCTTCACAAGTTTTTAAAACTTAATATAGAAGTTAGTCATTTATATACAAATTTTAGTTTACATATCAGAGTTCTGGAATGTCTGGCTCTCAAAAAATGACCAGTGTATTCATGTTAACTTTTCTTGATCACGTTCTATATCCTGTAAGTAATATGAGAAATAGAATTCCTATTTATATATTTTGGAAAATGATTTAGTTTTTTAGTTTTTTTTTCCCCTCAAGGAAAGAGGTGCTTGCTTTGTAAGGTTTTAAAACAGATACAGCATTAAGATAACATCAAAGTGTTCTTTTCGCTTTCTTTTTTTTTTTTTTTTTTTTTTTACAGGGATGGAAAGTGCAGCAGTGCTTTATCATGCATTTCAGCAGGTCTTCTTGAAATTAAACTAAAACTATGACAGCTCTTTCTCCAGAGAACTGTTCTTTTCAGTACCAATTACACCAACCAGACCATCCTCTAGATGTTAATAGTCTGTTGTATTTGATCATACTTGGGAAAATATTGTTGAATATCCTCACACTAGGAATGAGAAGAAAAAACACCTATCAAAATTTTATGGAATATTTTTGCATTTCACTAGCACTCGTCGATCTTTTACTTTTGGTGAACATTTCCATTATATCCTATTTCACAGATTTTATTTTTTTAGGCATTAGGTTTACTAAATATCACATCTGCCTATTTACTCAAATTATTTCCTTTACTTATGGCTTTTTGCATTACCCGGTTTTCCTGATAGCTTGTATAGATTATTGCTTGAATTTCTTTAAAACCAACAAGCTTTCATCTAAGTATCAAAAGTTATTTTATTTCTTCATCGTCATTTTAATTTGGATTTCAGTCCTTGTTTATGTTTTGGGAGATCCAGCTATTTACCAAAGCCTGAAGGCACAGAATGTTTATTCTTACCAGTGTCCTTTTTATGTCAGCATTCAGAGTTACTGGCTGTCATTTTCCATGATGCTGATTTTACTTGTGGCTCTTATAACTTCTTGGTCAGAAGTTATTACCTTGATCCAAGCTATTAGGATAACATCCTATAAGAATGAAACTATACTATATTTTCCCTTTTCATCCCACTCTGGTTATACTGTGAACTCTAAAAAAATACTCTTGTCCAAGCTTATTGTCTGTTTTCTTGGTACCTGGTTGCCATTTGTACTCCTTCAGGTTGTCATCATTTTATTTAAAGTACAAATTCCAGCATATATTGAGATGAACATTCCCTGGTTGTACTTTGTCAACAGTTTTCTCATTGCTGCAATTTATTGGTTTAATTGTCACAAGCTTTACTTAAGAGAGATCACACTACCTAAGGATCCGTTTGTCAACTGGAAATGCTGCTTCATTCCACTTACAATTAATAATCTTGAGCAAATTGAAAAGCCTATATCAATAATAATTTGTTAATGTTTCATGTTAAAACTAATTAAAACAGCTACAACAAGAATCAGAATTGTACTAATAAGAATGGCAACTGAGGACATACTGGAAAAAAAAAAGAACAGAAGCTCTTTTCCCCTTAACTTTTTATAGGTTTTTTGGCATATCTTTTAGGGCTATATTTATTAAGTAGTATTTTCTTTTAAAAACAAAATATATGCCAAGAAGTTTTTAAAGTCTGTTAAGGAACACTATAAATATTAATTTGCTTGTTAATACAAAAGTTAAATAATAACGTTTGGCCACATTGATGTTTGTATTGCCCCCCAAAAGTGGATGCAAATGTTATGTAAATCTGAGATTTCATTACCAACTTTAATAAACACTTTTATCAAATTTAGAGAAAAAAGTTGACTATTTTATTTAAATGATTTGGTATAAAATTTAATGAAGGATATTGGCTCATTTTAATTTAGTTAATTTAAAAAATATATTGGTTCTTAATGCAGATATTATTGGAAGAATTGGAAAAGAATTCCAGCTGTTTACCCTGGGAATTGGAAGTAGTGACTAGGTCTCTTTCATGAAATACTAGATTCATTTTCAGTTATGTCAAATCATAATCATATTAGCAACATATCACACTGTAAAGTAGGGTTTCTCATTCTTGGTAATATTGAGGTTTGGGGCTTGATAACTATTATGGGGAATTGCCCTGTGCATTGTAGGATGTTTAGCTGCATCCCTGTTCTCTGCCCACCAGATGCCAGTAGCTCTTCTTCCACAGTAATGACCATGAAAAATGTCTATACAAGGCTAAACCTCCCTTGGTGGGTGGGCTCAACTGCTCCCAGTTAAGAACCATTGGAGTAAAGCAATGTGAGTAGCAGAATAATCTCAATTCACTTTATGAATTAAGCTATGTAGCTACTTTAATCACCATTTACATATACTAATATATGTTGCATGAATCTAAACCATTTTTTAAAATTGGGATTTTTTTCACATTTATAGTAAGATATATATATTTTTTTACATCAGGAGTGATATTCATTAATATACATACTGAAGTTTATGTGTCATAAATATTTATCCCTACTTTATACATAATTAGTGTCATTTTTTACAAATGCTAATTGTAACCCATTGAGTTCATGATCTACAAATGCATTACTTTCCATTTTTTGAAAATGTCCTAAAACAAGTGCTATGGAGCACTAATAACAGCAAAGATTTAGGAAGCGTTGTGTGCCAAGAACTGTTTTAAGTATTTTAAATGCAGCACCTGATTTAATTCTTAAAACAACTCTGATTGGTATTATTGTTATCTGTTTTTACAGATAAGGAAATTAAGACATCAGAATTAAGAAACCCATTTAAGATCACACAGCTAATGATTAGGGGAGCTGAGATTCAAACTAGAGGTCTAGCTCCAGAGTTCATGCTCCCACTCATTGTTTTTTAGTCAAATGTAAAGAATGTGATTTCCTAATTATTTTTCAGTTGAAATTGCAGTGTCTTACGGATTTGAGGTGCCATAGTAAAGAAAATCATTTCCTTGAGCACACATTTATTTAGTTACCACTAGCCACCTAGGAGGACAACATGAAAAATGCTGCTGGGAATTTAGGAACTGAATTCTGAGTACAGGTTAAACACCCCTACTCCAGGATGCTCTGAATTCTGAAACTTAAGCATTAACACTGAAAAAAAGTTTTGAATTTTGAATTAGAGATGCTCAGCCAATAAAGTGTATACAAATATTCCAAAACCTGAAAAGCTTTATGGTCCCAGGCATTTCAGATAAGGAATACTCCACCTGTAATACAAAACCCAATCTGAGCTATTCTAAGAAAAAGCCCTTTATTGGCAAGATGATGTGGTAAAATACTAGGAATTTCTCCAGTTTTGTCGGTGGGCATTCTGGCTGCCAACAGCCAAGGACTTTTATTCCAGTTTAAAGCACCTCCTAGTTTCAGTTGTAAACTCTCAGGAAATGACTATTTGGCTTGACTTGAATCATATACACACTGCTGTGATCACGGTCTGATAACAGCAGACATTGAACAGAAGAGAACCACTCTACTGCATGGTACAATTTAAAAAAAGAGAATACAGGGCTGGGGATGTAATTTGGGGTAGAGCACTTGCCTAGCATGTGTCAGGCACTGGGTTCGATCTTCAGCTCCACATTAAAAAACAAACAAACAAAAAAAAAACCAAGTTATTGTGTCCATCTACAACTAAAAATATTTTTTAAAAATAGAATTCAGGAATAAAAATCACATGTTCTATTAAAAAAACAATGCAAATAGCCAACTGTATCCAAAGTTCAGTTGAAGTAATCCTTTTTTCAAGTGAATAGGGTATATAATTAACCAGTTTAGAAAGGTCTAAACCTGGATCTTCTTATTTCATTGTTACTTTTTCCTCTGAATATACATATTGTCTTCCAATTGGCCATAATGTAGAAATGAAATACTTTTAAACATATTGAGCTTAACTAGTAACAACTATACTCTTTGCAGATTTCAAATCAGAATTTAAACTATTTACAGTCTCTCCCCATATCGAATAAGCTTAAAGAAAAAAGAATTCAATAGACCAGCCAAATGGAAGAGGCTTTTATTTGTAAAGAAATGAACTTACAATGGTCTACAATATATTATTGTAATATAAACAATATAAATAAATGATCCTGCAGGCCCACTATCTTCTATCCAGACCCACATGAAGCAATGTTACAACAACATTCTATGTGAAAATGTGCAGGTTTAACAAAGGTGCAATTACAAGCAAATTTAAGCAGCAGAGTATAAGGTGCTTTCATTTAATAGTTAATGTTGCCATCAACAAACATTTGAATGCTCAATCTTACTTCACTGAATAGACACAACAGGAAAATCTAAAATTCATACACATGCTACTTGTTAATATGAAAGTGCTTTCTCTTTTTTTAAAAAAATACACCAAATGAACACTTTTTACATAGATCATGGTGTGCTCTTATAATGCAAAATTAACTTCATTTTCAGGTTATACATTTTAAAACTGTAGCTATAGACACCAGTCTAGGAATTCTAATGCTAAGAGTGCTAAAACTATTCCATTTCTCATAAGGAGGACTCTATTACAATGTCCAATGTAAGAATACATCTATATATAATCTTAATTTTTTTTCAGTAAAGATAAAAAATGCTTTCCTTCTCCCTTGGTGATATTTGTTTAGTTCATCCCAGGTAGGTCATCTTTTGAGGTTTTGATAATATGAAAGTCCTATTTTAGAACAACTGGAGGAACCAAAAGAAATAATTAAACTAGTTAATGTACTTGAAGCATCAACATTTTTGAAACAATTTATCACAACACTTTGCCTTTGTTAAATTAACAAAAATTTAATGAGCAACAAGTCAAAAGGTACTGATTTAATCAAGAGCCTTGAAAAGCCTTTCCACTGCAGCAGCACCTATTATATTGTTTATAAAATGATGTTACTGCCGTCTGTAACATCCAGCCTTCACTGCGAGTGTAATCCTCACTGTGAAGATACTTTTCGTAACTTTGACTTTTTCCCCCTTTATGGGAAAAACAAAACTTTTTTTTTTTTTAAAAAAAATGAGGTGACTGGGAATTTAATCAAACAACGTGGGAATTATATATCCAAAATTGCACCATCTTTTGCACTCAGTTGACTTTTTAAAATTTAAGAACATATATACATATATTAAAGTACATACATAGTAGGCATTTCAACAGCATAAAATATCTGAAAAATTAGGAACACTTTAAAAATTAAAAATTTAAAAGTAATTTTTAACTAGTTTCATGGAACAATTTACAAAACCCAGGCTATCTGGCTACTTCAGAAGTTAAGTGTTTTTGAACAGTTTGAAAGAGTCTAATGTAGATTCTAAATGAACACTTTGTTGGACATTTTCCTGCTTTAAAAAACTGCAACTTTGATGCATAAAAGTTTAAAATAGTTTTTCGTTTTATATATCTTTATAGAGAATATAACTGTCAATTGATGTTAATGTTTAAAGCTAGAATTACAATGTGATTCACAGAATCCCAGAGTGACAAGGGAATTTTACCCAATTAATTGATTTTCCCATTCCATGTTTACTTCCCGGATTCTTGCCAGTTCAAGCAGGGAACTGTTTTTTCTTCAGCAGTTCTGCATTTTAAAGGGTACCCTTTTATTATGCAATACATAGGCTTTTTTATTACCAATTTTCATATATTTTTAAAAGGTAACTATCTGTAATACCCTTAAAATACAACAAGATTTATTGTTTGTAATCTTTCTAGCTTAAAAAAATCTATTCTGGTGATTTCCTTTGAGACGTTTCAATTTTGAAAAACTGCTACAGTGTCAATACTGTATAGAAAGCCTTTGTAGTTAAAAATGTGCAGTGAATCATTGTTCTACCACTCACCATGTACAGCCACAATTCTGAAACACTCAAGCACCAAATAAAGATATCACAACAATCTCAAAATATAAGCTCTTAAAGGATCCTTAATTTTGTAGCCTATCAGGTGCATGGTCAGTTGATGTGCAGTATGTGAAATGTTACAAGAACTGTGATTGATCCAGACCCCTTGTATGCCATCTAGTCTTTTACCCAAAGCATAAAAAATTCCCTCTCAGTTCCAAGTATACAGTCAGTACATTAATTAGTACTAACTATGACCTTGTTCATTTAAGCCACAATGAACTTTGGTCAGGAAGATTTTACTTACTAGTTTCTTCATCGTGTATTCCATAAACAATATAAGTGTTCAGATGGTTTGCTAAATGGATGAAAGTGCATGAATGTCAATATGCATATGTGTTTTTATGTTCAGTAGTTAATAGGTAGCATTTAGAAAAAGGTCCTCATTTCCTTGTCTATGAATTTTCTACCTCAATCCTTAGAGCAAGTAAGTGACACAGAAAATGGATGTTTACTAATTAAGTATCAAATGAACCATTAAAAAGCAAAAAAGAACTGAGTAGGAGCAACTTTAAAAATATCTCATTTGTGGCCTACCATAGTAACTTTAGAGCTGAGAGGTATACAAATGATTATTTAAATCCAAATCAACATTTTGAAGAGTGTAGGCACCACACTGCACATTCATAGAGGTTAAAAACAGTTACCTCAAAGTGCACACACAGCTAATTAACCAATTAAGTCAAAACTCAGTCTCCAAGCCAGTGTGTTTTAGGTTCGCTTATCATGTTAATTTAATAAGTATATGATTTATTTCTACTCATTTTTAATACTATCTAAAGGAAAAGAATACTTTTAAGTATTATGAAAAAAAATAAACATTGGACACCTCTAGTTTACTTGAAGCACAAAAAAATCCTTTCTAAAATAGGTTGATATTTACTTCAAGGGCACCCACCTCTCGTAAGCATGAGCTTTTTCACTGCCCTCAGTTAAAGCTCCACAAAACATAGATTTAATACTCAACAACATGCCATGAAGTTTAACTTTTCAACCAATAAATGATGGTAGCTATCAATCCTTAAGGTGATTAGTGGAGTTAATTTAGCAGTTTAAAAAGAATTCTACTGCATTACTTTTACATTTAATTAAAACTATGCCATGCAAGCATAAGAACCTTTTAAAATTAGTTCATTTTTTCCAAATTAAAATTCACTCACTACTATACTTCTTTTAAACAACACATTCTTCTATGGATTCTCACTAAATACCACCAGTATCACTGAGAATTGTATTTTTCAAAAGGCAGTAGAAAAAAAAATTTCTAAAGTATAAAGCTTTAACCAAACTCATTATGTATCTTTTATCTAACATTTGATTAAAATTGTCATCTGAAAATAAAATTGTTCACAAGCTACAAAAAGGGGAAAAAATAGCATTTGTGGTAGATAGTTCTCTAAAAGTTCCATGAACGTGACATTTGCAAGGGTTATGTGCATGTGTCTGAGTAAAATGAAGAGCCTGCATTAAGATGCTACATTTAAGATTTTAAAAATGATTGCAAGGGACTCCCCATTCTTCTCTGGAATATGATGGTAATGATTATATTTGTATTAGTGCCCTACAACTTTCAGAAAGAACTTTTTCATAGTATAATTTAAAAGAGATTAAATAAGCTCTAAAAATAACATGTAAAACTTTGGAAATTATAAAAAAAAATTAGGAAACACTTTTTCCAAAGAAGGTAGTATAATTTTAAACATTTTGTATCAAAGAAATGGCTTGTACTGCTGCTATGAAGAAAACTATAGGGCATGATTTATAATCTTCTAACAAAAGAAAAGAGGGATATGTAACCAAAGAATTTTTTTAAGATGTACAGCTTACTGGGTTGAAATTAAATCTTAATAAGTTTGCATATTTAATTTTTCCTAATAGTGTATCTGTGCTTATCTGATTTGATTTCATCAAATGCTCTAAATAAATTTATAAAATGTCAGTATCGATGAATGTGGGCTAAATAGTGCATGTCACAATCCATTCTGCTTTGCAGCAAAGAAATAGAGGTAGGCTTGTGTTTAATGAAATTCAGACTATAAAGAGAAAACTATAGCTTTTAGTTACCCAATTCTTAGACAGAGACACAACCACAAAATGCTATCTTAAAATACCTTTCTTTTTAATAAGTCTATAAAGGTGATTTAACTGTAGTGTCTGAAAATGAAAACTCCGTAATTCTGGCCACTCAATTATAACAATGAACCTTTGAATCTCTGACATATTCAACTCTAATAGCTTTCATCTTCAGAAATCAAAAATTACTAATGTACGTATCATTGGTGCTACAAACAGTGAGTTTGATTATAGGCAAATTTTAACCCAGTAAAAATGATAGTAGGCTGGAGGATGTAGTTCAGGGATAGTTTCAGGTCCTGGGTTCAGGACCCCCATTACCACCACTATCAAAAAAAAAAAAAAAAGAGGGAACCCTTCCAAATTACCTCCACAATGAAAAAAAAACAAAACAAAACAAAAAAAAACAACGAAAGAAAGGAGGAGAAGGGGAAAAAAATAAAGAAACCAGAACCCTATTATGGTTTAGATATGAGGTCCCAAAACCTCATGCGTGAGACAATGCAAGAATGATTAGATTATGAGAGGAGTAACCTAGTCAGTAGACTAATCCACTGATATGCATGAACTGGGTGGTGGTAACTATAGGCAAACAGGGTGGGCTGGATGAAGTAGGTCACTGGGGTTGTGCCTTCGGAGTTCATATTTTGTCCCTGGTGAACATAGTGCTCTCTGCTTCCTGGTTGCCTTGTCTGAGTTGCTATTCTCCACCACACACCTTTTGCCATGATGATCTAATTCACCTTGAGCCCAGAGCTATGGAGCTGGCCAACCATGGACAGAACCTCTGCAAAACAAATTCTCTTCCTAAGTTGTTAATGTCGGGTGTTTTGTTCATGGAGGTGAAAAGGCTAAAACAAACCTGCTAAAATTGGAATCAAATAATTATAATTTATTATCTTGAACTATTAATGAAGGCCACCTTTATATTAGATGATTTCATGTAATATAAATTCTTCTAGATCCTTTTGGTTCTGGAATGCTTTTCTTCCTATTTGGTCTCTTCCTCCACTTCTTCCTCCAACCTCTCCCCTGCCCCCTCAAAACCTTTAGGACACAACTAGTTTCACATTTTGTGCATGAGAAACAGACTGAGCAAACAATTTGCATAGAAGGGCCAGTCTCCACTGCCCAAAAGTTTTTACCGAAACATAACTGTTAGACATTAGGCCTCCCAAGCTATCTCTATAATCAGCCCCATCACAAAATCCTCTACGGGGTATTCAAGCAGAGGTCTAAGAAAAAAGTTTTTGTGCAGTTTTTGGTGGGGGCTGGAGGCTTTAGGGGAGGAAGTGAGGTGAAGCCCTTTCAGGCCATCAGCTAATGTTCAGTATCAGTAGGCAGCATGTATTTTCTGCCACTCACCAAGGATGAGAGTCTTTGAACTACAAAATATAACCAGCATCTTCTGGTTGAAAACTTAACTTTAAAATATTTTAAGGGTTTCCAGTCAGGGATTTTACCCACTGGACATAGTAGTAATGTCAGCTTCATTCACTTACATCTATAATAGTTTCCAAAATTAATACACATAAAAGCATAGGCTAAGACTATACAACTCCATTGTTTCCCTACTATATTTGTGCCTTGGTGGTACTAAAACCTTGAAAATATAGATACTAGGCTTTAAGAAATTTACCTGAACAAGTCAGTGAGAGCTGGAGTACTATGAGACAGAGATCAATCCAAGACTTATCTTTGTGAATAAATGTCTGGTATAGTTTCACACAATAATGATTAGGTATGTCAAAAAATTATTCAAAGATATGGTCACAATAATACCTGTTTTAGGTATTACTCTGAGTGTTTCTGCATACCAGGAAGCAAAAATAAACAGTGGAATACCTTTTAAAATATTATTTCCTTCTTAAGTTAGGTAAAATGTGAACATTAACATCAAAAGTAAAGCAATCTGTTCAGTGTTGAAATGGGCTAAACTAACAACAACAATAACAAAAAGGCCAATGTCCTGGTCTGTGGCTTTCCCATTCTCAAGCTTGTTGATTAACATTTCTTTAATTCATTTCTGCTTTCTCTATCCTTAGGTGGCCTTTAAACTTGGACTTAAAGTTCTGTTTAAAGGACTCCATAGCAAATTTTAAAAAGTGATATGCCACCAAAGAATGACAACAACTCTGTCTTTTACTGTACTGATTATATCAAAGCTGCAGAGCTGTGTTTTACACATGTCTACACAAAGCTTGATGCATATTAATGTCATATAAAAATAACTTTTTTACAAACCAGCTCTTTCAAGGTTTTTGACTAGGAACACAAAGCTTAAAGCAACTAAAATTTCAAAATTATGGTCTTTCTCCCCCCACCCCCTCAATGGGAAAAGAGTGCAACAGTTTACAGAAGTTAAAAAATGCAAATTTAGATAGCAAAAATAGGAAGAATCCCCCATGTTCCCTTTTGCTTATTATTCCTTCTCTCTAGTCGAAACCCTAAAACCCTCAGTAATATGAAAGGAAATGAAAACAATAGCACTCTCCCCACATATATCATAGTGAAGCTGCCTAAACTTCAGGAGAGGTGGACAATCAGTATCATATTTATCCATTATCTATAAAAATCTTTGAAATTAAGAAGACTAAATCATCTAGAAAGAAATAGCTGCATCAATGGGAGAATTACCAGTTGATAAGCAGATGAGCCATTTCTAAATCAATTCACTTGAAAAAAGCAAGTTTATCTTCTAGCTATGTTCTGAGTGGGTTACAACAGAATTACAAGGACCATAAGTAGATAATCTCCAACAGAAACTCCTCTGGGCATAGAGGTTTTCCAGTTTAGAACAACTTATATTAGTAGAAGAAGAAAATAAAAGGAACTTTCAACATAGTTCAAAGTTAATACCTTAAAGGTTATAAACAAAATAGTTATGGGAGATGAATAATTATTGCTAGAGGAGCTATCCCTGAAAAATCAATTTTATATTAATTGTGGATTAACTACAATAAAGTTTTAATTCCAGGGGAGATTTTCCTTTGTGCCTCCCTCCCTCCATACATGGACAATCTCTTAATACTGCTTAGCATATGTTTATGTTCTGAAATTGCAAGATGAGGGGAAAAGCACATCATAATTATGTCCTGATGATTAACTACTAATAAATGAAAACTGTAGAGTACCTACCTTTCCTTGAACTTTAATCCAATAATTAAAACTGTGATACAAAGAAATATGTAACATAGACTATAAGCTATTGTGGGTCTGGAACATGAGCCTTCCATTATATTACACATTCTAACCCTACACATGACTATCAGTAAACATCTTTTTTAAAAACAACTACACAAAGAATCCCACAAAGCGTACATTCAAACAAGAGGCATCTAAAGATTAAAAAAATTACCCGCTATATTTTTGTATAAAAATAATCAACATTTTCTAATGTACACAAAGCCAAAAGATAAATATCTGTGATGTCTTGTGACATCTTTAGTTTTTTATTAGCTCAACGCAATCTTTTTGAAAAGAGCAGTGAAATGACTGAAACTCATGGACTCTGTTTTCACTTAATGAACTTCGTGGCCAAATATCAGTGTATTTTCCTTCAATCACATGTAAAAGATAAGATATAGGAAATGACAGAAACTTTCACAGTCTTCTCAAATAAAACATTTGACACCCAAGACTATAAAGCTGTCAGGACTCCACAATATTTTTAGTGTCCTGGTTCTATAGAAAACTAACTGAAAAGTTAGTGGAAAAGTTTTGCTTCATAGTTTTTTTAAGTTAGATCTGATCATCCAAGAGAAATCACTTGGTAAGTATTCTGCAGGAAGCATGCAAAGATTTAGTAAAGGAAAAAGGAATGTGCATGTTCAATACTAGAAGAAATCCAAAGTGCAATCACATATCCACCCAAAACTTCCTTGCCAGAAAATGGTGCCCTGGTACTTAAGTGTAATTATATTATGCCTTCATCAGTGTGCAGCACAAAGATAAGAAAGATAACTAATATGAATCAGTACTGAGTGTCAAATTGTAAGCTAGTCTTTATTTGATAGACCAATTTTATGGATTTATCTCCTTTTTCTATTATGCTTAATAAACTGGAAAAATACTTCATAACATTAATGCTATATGAATAATACTTCCATTACACGTTTCCTCATTATGAACCATCTCTTTAAAATGTTCCTTTGAGTGAAAGAATTAACATTTTTTATTCCTTCCTCATCAGCGCTGCTCAACCTTGGCACTAGTGGCATTTTTTACTAGATAATTCTTTGTTGTGGTGGGCTGTTCTATACATTGTAAGACATTTTGTAACATTTCTGGCCTCCTACTAGACATCAGTAGCAACCTCACCCAAACTCAGTTCTGATCTGTGACAATCAAAATGTTTTTAGATGTTGGCAAATGTTCTCTGGAGAACAAACCAATCTCTATCAAGAGGCACAGGTCTAAATGTACAAACTCTTGAGAGGAAAACTTGTCAGGCAAGCCAAATTATCTGAAATAGAAATCAACTCTTTTGACCTCCAGATCAGTATCATTTATGCTAGAACACAATCCTTTCTTAGAGCATTTGTTAAAAGACATTTTTAAGAATGCAAACTGATATTTCAATGCATATGATCCCATCATTGGACTCCTAAATTATTCCATATCTTTATGACAACCTTTAGAGAATGAATAGAGTACAAAAATGTATGAGAAAAGTGAATCAAAAGAGAAGTGTAAATCATCAAGTTACTTTCAAAAGAATTCTTTATATTAATGATAAACATCACTTTTAAAAATTATCTAGCATAACATGTTTCTTTGAAAAATACCATGGCCCTTTATAGCAGCTTTTTCAATGTAACTTGTAAAATCAATTTTACCAATGTTGACTAATCATGAAAATGTATGATGAATAATTATATTGTAGAAGAAATGTCAACACTTAATGTGGAGTTCCCAGTGTGCTTGGCCATCTATCATAAGTGTAATATTCTAGGCCAACTTAGGCCTTTACCTTACAAGTCTGTTTAAAAAGAGTAAAACTGGTGTTATATCAAAGCCTTATTGTTCTTGTTAAGATTCCTTCAGAGAGTTGATGCGTGCACAGATCTTCAGGGCTGGGCCTAGCTTGATATTCATTGCACTCATGAGATGGTCTTCTTTTAACAAGAGAAGGGCCTGTCCATCAATCTCTTGTGCCCTGAACTCGTCTGCAATATCCTGACAACCTGGAATTTAATCAGAGGACGGAGTTTAGAATTAAATACTTGACAACTAGACATAATTCCTAACAGCAATAGCTATACTCTCACTGGGTCTAAGAATCTGAAATACAAGTTGATAAACAAATGAAATTTATATACAGTAGCCTGGGATTCATCCTTGAAAAAGAGAGTATTTGTTGGCATTCTGAAAATAAAAATTCAAAATCTATGTAAAGAGACTTCCTTGGAATTCTTGCTCTAAAAATAATTAGAGGTAAAAATGTACAGAGTAATCATAACATTTCCTTCATAAAAAGGTCTCTATCACCTTGAAGCATGACACACATGCTTGGATTAACTAGTAGATACATCTCATGAACTTTGTATAATATATCCTTCACATATAGGTACAGAGGAATGAAATATAATGTTATGGGGCTGGGGTTGTGGCTCAGTGGTGGAGCACTCACCTGGCATAGGAGGGGCATTGGGTTTGATCCTCACCACATAAAAATAAATAAAATGAAGGTATTATATCCAACTACAACCATAAATAAATAAATAAATAAATAAATAAATAAATAAATAAATAATAAAAAGAAATACAATGTTCTGCTATTTAAATGATAATCTGGAAATATTTTCTTAAGTATCAGAATACCATTTTCATTATCATTTGTACCTTATTCTAAATTATAATCTTTGTTGCCAAGTATCTCTGAAATATTATTGTTCACTCAGGACAGACCCAATCCCTTGAGATTATAGTTATCAATGAATGTATTGCAATATTGCTGAAATATACTACTTAAATTATAATTTCAGAGCTGGGGAAGAGTACTTGCCTAGCACATGCAAGGCACTGGGTTTGATCCTCAGCACCACATAAAAAAATAAAGGTATAAAAAAATTATAATTTCAACCTTGAATCTTAAGAAACACATTCTCATTGAAATTATGAACTTCTATGCCAGTCTTCTGACAAATAAGGAATATTTTAACTCAGCTTAAATCAGATGCTTTAGCAGGTAACAATACTAGTGTCCACTTGAGCCTCAAATGTTTTTGTTATATACCAAATTTTTGCACATCCAAGTTACTCAGTAACTTCCCTATTAGAGGTAAAGAAACCAATAGTTTAGGAAATGAATGATGAAGCCAAGAAGAAAGAATGAAAATGAACTAAAAACTTAACTTTAAAGTGTTTTTATTTTACTCAATCAGCATTCAAAGAAAAAATACAAAAACTAAAAGATGTATGTACATTCCATGTATGTATTATATATCAAAATACATTCTGCTGTCATGTATGACTAAAAAAAAAACTAAAAGATAATGAAGAATAGAAATGATTACATTGCACCTTGGCCATCACAATTTTGTTAGAATAATATTTGTATTCTATTGCAAATATATCATCCCTTCATTTGTATTAGATGTCTCCTACCTTAATAACGTCAGCACCAAACGCAAAGCATTATAGGTGCAAGATACATATATTTATGAATGAGTGAAGAATTGAATAAGTGAATAAAAGATAAACAATTAACAAAAATATACTCTACTACAGAAGAATTATCTGTAAGAGTAAATCACATTTTTTGTGTTCAGCTGTGAGGCCACCTTTTCTCTTAGTTGTTTCTTTTCCTGTGTCCTGTTTTTATCTTTACTATTTCCTATATGGCATCCAGCCCTTCAATTTCTCTATTTTAATAATTTCTCAGATTTTTTAAAGTCAGCATTTTGGTACCCTCTACAGAATGTTTATGGTTTTGCCCATGTATCATTTAAAAGAAACTATAGAGATGAAAGATTACTCACCATAGAAAAGCCCCTTTTCTTTTCCCAGAGGTAGCTCTCAACAAAACTGGGCAGACAAAACTGACTAATCTTGCATCTAGTTGTGACTTCATCCTTCTTTTTATGAAAGAACTAGTGTTCTTCTCTCTTCAGTCTTACTTACAAGAACACAGGAAAGGAAAGAGAAAGATAGGATAGAACTTAGATTCAGAAAACAGGAGCAATGAGAAGTAATGAGGACCATAAGAGCTATATTTGGGAATAGAAATGAGTTCTCCATAAGGAAAATATATAGCACGCTCTTATTCCTCTGCATTGAGAGATTCCTCTGCAGATCAGATGTCTTTTCATAGGTGGACAGTAAAAGTATTGGTAAAATAATAAAGAACAAAAAGTGATTTGGAAAACAGCATCGTTAGACAGGAAAGTATATTTTGAGAAACTTGGATCAAAACTAACTTACGCCAACCTCCAAAAAATATAGTTACATTAGTATGAATATGAGAAAATGAAGTGCCTTTTAAAACAGGGAACAGGGAAACAGAAGTAAATACACTTCTAAAAACTCAGTATAGAAAAACATTTAAAAAACCAAGTGCTCAAGATACAGTGAACTGAAGTTCTGTGAGCTTCCAACATTAGTTTATACTTCTGTAAAATGGTTGGAACTCAGTGATATGCAATAAATATACACCAACTGAGGCAACCAGTCGGCTCAGCTGCTTTTACCTCAGAGGAACCAAGTACAGTGTAGTTCTCAGTATGGACAGAGATGTTTGCACTAGGTCTCAAATGATCCCTACAAATGAACAGAATCACTTCCCCATTTAAACCCAAAATTTTAAAAAATGCCCTACATAAAAACTGATTAGTAAGATTAGTAAAAAGATCACTTATCACTCAATTCAGAATAAACAACTCTCAAAACTAGTTTAACAAAATACCAGTTAAATATTCATACTTTGAAGAAATAATTCCCTATTTTACATGCTTGTAGAGAAATCTTGTTGATCCACATAATACAGAATAATATTTGCAAAAGGTAATTCACCACACAAGGAGGAGTTAAAGAAGATAACCCACATAATTTTTTGAAAATAAGAATTGTTCTTATAGAGAACTTTTTATGTATGAGAAGTTATAAGACAGTTTTTAACTGTGGTGACAGTTCTGAGAGATGTGTGTACTACATGTAAGCACAAACAGTCCCAACAGAATGGTTAACAAGATGATATACAAAAAGAACAGAAAACCTTAGCAGTAAAATAGAGGTGCCCTGATTAGAAGGGGAAGGAAGTCTACCCTGGAAAGAAACAATACAAGAGATTACAAAATTGGTGAGCATGTTCATACCATGAGAAAAGCTTGGGAAGACACTACTCCAAGAAAATAAACAGTCCTGAATAAAGTAAGAGACTCAAAAGGAAATTCACAAAGCCCAAAGGATACAGGCATGTCCTGGTATAAGATTTACCTTAAGCTACAGGCATTATTCAGAGACAAAATTTAAGAAAGGTGGGGTAATTGATCACAGAAATAAGCTGCTTATCTGGCCTGTGGAAGCAGTCAAGAAATACTCCCATTTTATCAGTAAAGGGAAAGAGTTATACTAAGTAGACTCTAAAACAGCACCAAGTAATTATAAATTATAAGGCAGTCTCCTTTTAAGGATAATATTCTCTAAAGAACTCAGAACAAAGTTAAGTGCCTAGATGAACTCACTGACAAGCACCCCAAGTTTAGCAATAATAAGTTGAATTTCTTTTTTTTAACCTCAAATGAAGCACGAATGGGACACAAAAAGTTGGCCTATGTTCTAATAAAGCAGCCAATAGTAGCAATAGAGCAAATGGATCCTGGGAAAATTAGCCCAAAAAACCACATTAAGTGATAAAAGAATCAGCAGTAGCTATTATTTGTTAATTAGTTAGGCAATTAATTTCCTGAGGATGTATACCAACTCTCCTCTCCAAAAGGAAAGGAGTATTTCTCCCAAATGAGAAAGGAGACTCACAAAGAGATCACATGCTCCACTTGGAAGATGAGGACTACTGAAGATGATAGAATCAAAGTGCAACCCCAGATGATTAGTACAGATTCCAGTGTTAATTCCTAAGACAACTATACTGGTCCCAAGAGTAAAATTTGTTTTATTAAATACTAAAACCACAACCAATGAAGATTCACTATCCTCTAGTGTATTCAGTTTAAAGCAGGTTATAAACCCACATGGTGGGCAATTAACTCAGACCTTAGTTTTCTTAGGCATATGTTTAAAATTTTCACATGAAAAAAGTATACCTGCTTTAAACAATTCCATCTTTCTATTAAAATGGCCATATTTTAACATTTTATTAAAGTTTTAAAGAAGCTATATTTAATAAAACGCCAGAGAGTTCTGTATGTAAGTTAAAACGGGCAGCAGCTTTTAAAATTATTATTTCTAAATATATTTTCTTGCATACCACATTAGCTATAAGTATTCTTCTGAGACTTTGGCCACCTTTACAGAAAGTCAGCAATAATAGCTAAATAATTTGTTTATAGGAGTCTGGTAGATAATTCTGATGAGACATACTATCCTAGAAATCTTGAATCAAGAAAAATAATATGATTCACAAAGCCAAAAGGAAACATTTTAAAATCTCATTTGCCATTTTCATAAAGTCAAAGTGAATAAGATTTGCTGATTTAAAATAAATATATCATCTTAACATATATAAACAGTACAGGTCTCATCATGAGCAACTGATGTCTCTAGTTGCCCACCCCTTGGAGAGAGTGGATATGATTATTGTTGCTTTAAAGAAAAAAGGAGACTTAAGTTGATGGAAAGAGTATCAAACTGAGAGAACAGGAAAACATAAATAAGAAGATTATCTTCAATATTAGAATCATATTGTAGTAGAGGGAGGATCTCAAGCAGTTAGTAAATTTTTTAACATATTCAACTGTTGAAGTTTGTTTATTGAAAGGAATTAAAGAATGTTGCTTCCTTTAAAAGAACCAGCTTGATTTTTTAAAAAGAAACCAAAATTTTATCATTTTATATGTCTTTATTAGCTTTCAAAAATGTTTAAAAAATACTAGTCTCATTTCATTTTTATAAAGGTTAAAATAGGAAATAAGAAGAAATAGAATAGAAAAATAGAGTAGAAGGGAAGAAGTGTCTGATTCAATCTCTCTACTGACCTCTCGAGAGAAATCAGACTGAAGAGAAGAGAGCACCTTAATATCTTCACCAGCTGGGGTGTCACAGAAGCAGGACTAGTCAGTTTTTATCAACTTGGGGGTATGAAAAAAATACCCAGTTGTGCTGAGGGAATAAGCAAGAGGAAACAGATCAAACTTCAATAGCAATTGCCATTTAATTTATACATACACGCAGACTTCTCTAGCCCTTCTGTGCAAAAATATGGATGGATCTAACATCATTCCTGAGTGTCAATACACAAGAAAAACATTAAAGTCAAAATGGTGAATTACATACCAGGTAAAGAATGGATGAAGGCCCAGACATCATCAACTGTCCATATAGAGGGCTCTGTCTGTGTAACTGGTAACAAGTCACTGTTCTCGGGCATTTTCCTAATTCTTACTTCTCGAAGCTCACGTTCTCTCTCCCGCTCACTCTGCCTGCGCAAACGAGTTGTCATAGCAGATGGTACAGAATCTTCATGAGAAGCCAAGTCTTCTTCTGCAGATGGATAAGTAATTGGAAGCTGGAAAATGTAGTACAAGTAAAATACAGCATTGTATTTTGCATTTTCTTTGCCATTTCTGAAAAGGGTATAGTATATTAAAGCAAGGTTTCTACAGACCTGCCTAAGGATATGTTCTCTTGCTGCCCCATCAGGGCCACTTGGACGACGACCACGATGCCCAAGGCTTTGATTATCAGGTTTACGATTCCAACGACTAAGTGCAAATTTTTTAGAACAGCTAACATTGTACCTAGGAAATTCAAATGAGAAAAAAATATTAAATGATGACATGAGACACTCCATTTAGTGTTTAATTATGACTTTAAAGTGCAATTATGAATCAGGAAGTGCCTTTTCTTCACAAAGGAACATAATACCTCATAAAATAAAGCCCAAATTAGTCAATGGATTTGTGTATTTATAATACATCTCAATATAACATTGGATACCTATTAAAAGATACTGATTACAGCATGATAGTGAGAACCTTTCTGTAAAATACAACTAATTTTTATAGCAACAACAACATTCAAAGTTCCAGGAAAAAAAAATTGTAGTAAATATTTAGAATCTATTCAAACTGGTATTTTCCCAAGTAATAATTTCTGAAGAGAGATTAATAAAAAAGATATTGATGTAGTAGAGGGAGGATCTCAAGCAGTTAGTAAATTTTTTAAAATATTACAAGAATCAAAGTAAAAATATATAAAGTTGGAATTTCAAAGTTACAACAAATGCACTATGCTTATTATTCAGGAAATTTGGAAGGACATCTTGATTCTTTAAAATTGGTTCATTTTTCTTTTGTATCCACAGACTGCCTAATATTTTTGAACACAGATCTTTATAAGGCATGATGCTGTCTTCAAGAGTCTTACACCATCTAGTAGATCTCAGAGCCCTAGAACAAAGACTGATAAACTTTTCTTATAAAAGGCCATGACAGCTACTCATCCCTGTCACTGTAGTGTGAAAGCAGCCACAGAAACTGATAAATGAGCATGGCTGTGTTCCAATAAAACTTTTCAATTTAAACACTGAAATTTGAATTTCATGTAATTTTCACGTCATGAAATATATAAGCAGCAGGAAGAACTTGTCCTGGGTGAGTTTGCCAACTCACTCCTGGAAAGAGTAAAACAAAATTATCGTAGAAACAAATTTCTAAAAAACTTTGCATGTTGTGGAATGTGCAAATTAAGAAATTAAGTTAAAACATGAGTTCAATATAATTTTATTACAGATCTATCAATATGAAAGACTACTTGAATAATAGACTGACAAGTGAAATAATCCATTTTTGGAGGAAACAAGTAATAAGAGTTTTACTATGTATACTTTGGTGGCACCAATACAAAGTAAAATATTCAAGAAAGAAATTCACTGGTGTATATAAATTAATATCTTAAATTCTTTGAGGGAATTTAAGAGAACTACTTTTTTGAACAGAGAATTTCAAAATAACCAACCTGTGCATAAAATCAACTTTAGTGGTAAATATCAGAGTGGGTACTGATAATACTACACTTAGGAGTTACAAGCTTAATGAAGAAATAACATTTTTTTTTTGCTATTAATACTCTTTGTCTAATAATTACCATTGAAAACATTAATTTAGAAAAGATATTTTTCTGTCTGATGTTAACAATGTGGAGAACTTATCTGTTGTTATTCAATAACAAACCTAAAATATGTATAGAATATGATTCAAACAAATGAAAGCACTTTAAAATAAATTAAATCCAAATATTTCAGTACTGGTAAAACAAGTGGATGATTAAAAACCATTTCGGTATACTTCAATATTATATTACACTGTAAAACTGATTCTAAGTGTTATGAATAGGTAATTTTCACAGTGCATAATCTAGTAACATAGTAATCTAGTAACATTATACCAATGTAGCTCCATATAATGCCAAATTATTCCTCTGAATTACAGTATCTGTTTTCTATTGTTAAATTATACAAGAGGCTTTTTTTTTTTTTTTTTTTTTTTTGGCAGCGGTTATTGTCTTGTCCTTTAGGGAATTCAAGAATACAGAAATACCTTTTGGCACATGACATAGTGCAGAATCGTTTTGACCGTAAAAATTCATTAGCATATCCCATTTTCCCACAGAATTCACACTTGAGCAACTCACTGTCCATTTCTTCTAAAGTCTCTAAAAAATAAAAAATAAAATAAAGGTAACAAAGGGGGAAAGTTCCAAAAAGTTAATTGTAGCATATTTTTTTTTTAGCTCAATATGGATTAAATACTTTTATTAGACCAATAGTCCATTGCTTTTTAATTCATAGTCCCTCTGGCAGAGCCAAAGCCTTCAAAAACAACCACCTCCTTCTTCAACATAAAAATCATATGGACTTTTTCTCTATATAAATGAGTATAACATTTTTCCTTTTTTTTTTTTTTTTTCCTGTGGTGCTGGGGATGGAACCCAGGGCCTTGTGTATTAGAGGCAAACACTCTACCAACTGAGCTATATCTCCAGCCTGAGTATAACATTTTTAAAGGTTCATTTTGCTCAGATCCAGCATGTCTAAAATATGAAAACTTTATAAACACTATGAGAAACAAAGATGAATAAGACATAATCACTGTCCTCCACAAAGAACACTTTCAAAAAACTGTGTGAGATGTGAATTTTAAAAAATTGTGCTGCGGAGATATATAGCAGGGAAGCCTTAATTCTAGCTGAAAGTATGAGGATAACTTCATAATTGTGCAATTTTGATATGTCTGATATTAAGAGAGAATATAAAAATAACTCTAAAAGAACTGCTAGAATATATGATAGAACATATAAAGATAAATATATCTAATTGTAAAACAGTTCCTATTAGTTATATTTAATAAAAAATAACAGATTAAGCCTTTAAAAAAATCACAAATTGTTTCATAATTCTCAACAGTTGATAATTTTTTCATCATGCTTCCCATTAAAGTAGAATGGGTTCTCCTTCTACCCCTACATTTTCTTCTTTAGACCATAAGCCAGAACCTACAGAAGCTTCCAAACTAAATCCTCAAATACTCAGAAGCAGTCACTATAAGCAAACAATTTAATCTTCATGACCCAGTTTTCTCTTTGTAAAATGAAGCTTACAATACCTTTCCCAAAGAACTTATATAACAAATGAGTGCCCAAAAGACAATAGGCATGAAAAACGTGACAGTTCCATTTCCTATTTTTCACATAAGAACTAAAAGTAATAAGATGTATAAGTGCTCAAGAAATCCTTTAGTGAAACCTGTTAAATTTGTAAATCTACCATATGTTACCATTTTCTTGCATCATAATTCCTATGCTAAGTCATATAAAATATGCAGTTAAAAAGCACTCTAAATCATTTAGCTATGAGCTCATATGTACTCTTTCTATATTACTCTAATAAAGACTTATTAAGATGAAGTCAGGGACTCTAAAAATGTAAATATGAAGGGCATGTACTCTGTAAGCTTAGCCACTCACATTATCCCAGTTTAATGCAGTGAGAAAAACATACTCTGAAATAATATTTGACACTATGGGACTCCAAATATATTATCTGACTATTAAAATCATGAACTAAAAAGTGGTCCATATGTCCATCCTTCCTTTCTTCTCTCCCTCCTGCCTTCCTTTCTGGATCAAACTCTGCATGCTAGGCAAGCACTCTTAACACCAAGCTACAACCCCAGCCCCTAAGGGGCTATTTTAAGGAAATTCTAAAAGTCTTTAGGCTTTTAGACTTCAAAAGCAGAAGTCATCAATTTATTTGCAATAAGGAAGAAACAGTCTCAACACAATTGAAAAAAAATATCATTCATTCCAATGACTTAGGGATGATTTTGACACAGTTGTGACCCAGTCAGAACATCTTACCAACACATTCCTGGGACATAATATCAGAACTCCCAAATGTATTATATTTGTTATGCTTATCACCTGATCGAACTTTGAAAAGCCTATAACAGAGATAGAACCTCTCACTTAATCACTACACTACTGATACAACCCTAAAGAGTCCATTTCTTCAGTTGTTCCAAGATCAGGCTACAGCCAAACCTTTGCTTCAAAGTTGTTATTTTAACATTAACAAAACAATATATAATACCTGATAACAGGTTAGAATACCTTGTGAAGAACAAGAAACTGTTTTTGCTGGTGAGAGGGGGAGATACCAAAGAGACATATGGCTTAAGGATGGATAATAGTCTAACAAAAGTAGACCTTCAGAATCTCATTTAAAAATAAACAAACAAAAAAAACTTTGTGTTTATTTGTGTTTTCCTTCAGTCATTCTGAATACCAGTTTGACTTCTATGGACTATTCATTATTGAAATAAAGTCTATTTTAGAAGATTCTTTGACAGTAAGAAGGTTTAGTGATATTTTTATCTCTGAACAAATGTAATCACCTATTGACTGAAGAGTATATCCATCATATAATTTCAATACAACCTGGTTTCACCCATCAAAATATGGAAAGACTAAAGCCAAACAACCCAGAAGCTCTAAATTTTTAAGCAAATTCAGTAAAATGGTATTTGTTACTTAAGTTTCCTTTAAAAAAAAAAAAAAGAAAAAGAAGAATTTGTTGCTTTGATGCAAAACTTACAATTATTTTCTCTTATACATGATGAAACTTTTCCCAAATGTCAAACACATTGTACAAATTAACACCAATTTTACTATTTTAATTATCTGGTCACTACAAGTCTGGTTAGCTTTCTCATTTTTATAGTCAAATAGTGTACTGCATGAGAATAAAAATGCAAATTTTTAAGTAAAAATCTGTGAAGAGTAAAAATCCATGTCCTGTTTCAAACAGTACAAGTTAAAGGGTATTTTAAGTGAATCCACACACCTTCAGCAATCATGTCTTCCATCTCTGTGTCTGAAGAATTATCTGCATGCTTTGTATTATTCTGTATCTCTGGCTGAACACAAACAGAATTTATCACCTGATTATCCAAAAGAGGCCTTTTTTTCACAGGTTGTTCTATTAGCAAAGATGAACGGCTCACCTTTAAAAAGGAAAGAGAATAAAATGAAATAATCTCTGAAAGATATCTAGAAATAATTTGATTAAAATATCTCTTGAAATGAACAATACTTGTGAAAATTTACTTGTTCAGTGATCGGCTCCATTCATTTAGTGCTTCATTTTTTAACTAAGGATTAAGGAGTCTCTTTTTGTGTATGTGTGTGTGTGGGGGGGGTACTGGGGATTGAACTCAGGGGCACTTGACCACTGGGCCATATCCCCAGCCCTATTTTGCATTTTATTTAGAAACAGAGTCTCACTGAGTTGCTTAGTGCTCACTTTTGCTGAGGATGGCTTTGAACTTTCAATCCTCTTGCCTCCACCTCCAGAGCCACTGGGATTATAGGCGAGTGAAGTCTCAACACAAACATCTTATTTTTAGTTACCAGCAGAGCAAAGGCTTCAAAGTCTTTGTGAAATGGAAACTACTGTCTTAGTTTAGGCAAGTAATTGATTTAGTAATTCCAGAATTAATACAAACATAGTGCAGGTTATCCTACACTATGAATATTTCAGTAGTTCTGCCCAACACCAAGCAAGGCTATAACCAACAGTACATTTAGGAGTTGGATGGGTTTCCTTTGTTATTTTTGTTTTATGGTGCTAGAGACTGAACTCCAGGGCCTTGTGGTTGCTAGGCAAGAGCTCCATCACCATGCTATACCCCCAGCTCTTTTGTTAACTTTAAAAAACATTACTCAATTAAACAATTCTCTCTCAAGTTCTATGTGGTGACTAATCTTTTTCCTTCAGAAACTTTAGTGTTTTCCATCTGAATGCAACACAAATAAAAGATGAACAATACATTTTTTAAGTAGTGGGGCAAAGCAAGGGCCTCCCACATGCTTAGGCAGGCACTCTACCATTGAACTAGAACCTCCAGCCCACATTGTATATATTTTATAACGTTTTTAAAATATTTTTTTTTAGTTTTAAATGGACAGCATGCCTTTATTTTATTTATTTTTATGTGGCGCTGAGGCTCGAACCCAGTGCCTCACACGTGATAGACAAGCACTTTATTACTGAGCCACAACCCTAGCCCCAGATAAGGAAACTCTTTAAAAGGACTAAGTTTATTGCTTTATAAAAGCAAAATCTGGTCTAGAACTCAAGTCTCCTAACTTCTAGTAGGTCAGCAACCTAACCTACTAAAATCACAAAAGGAAAGTCCTCAAACATTGTTAACATCAACAACATATTCACAATGTTTAATTACCTGATTATCATGAATACTCATTTGAATACTCAGAACTATTTTCAGGAGAAATTAAACACACACACACACACACACACACACACACACACACACACACACACACACATTTACTGATTCTCCAGGTAAGCCTTCAGCTAAAAAAATGATGATTAGATACCAGGTGAGGTGGCACATGCCTGTAATCCCAGCAGCTCAGGAGGCTGAGGCAAGAGGATCAAGAATTCAGAGTCAGCCTCAGCAACAACAAGACACTAATAAGCAACTCAGTGAGAACTTGTCTATAAATAAAATACAAAATAGGGCTCAGGATGTAGTTCAGTATAGTTGGACATCCAAGTTCAACCCCCGGTACCAAAAAAAAGAAAAAAGAAAGAAAGAAAAGAGGATGATTAGAATATCTTTCTTCTCAAGACTGCTGGTTAAATCTTTTGTATCAGCTACACATAGGGAAATTACAGCTTAATGAAAATTTCTAAAATTAACTTTAGAGTATTATCAGCATTTTAAATGAAACAGATTTTTAAAATTTTGTTTCTTTAAGATATTGAATATGCCTCAAAAAAATTTATAGAAGTTATTCCAGAAGGGGGGAAACTAATATTCAGTGCTGCCAAAGCCATATACTTTTGACAGACGAATAAACTTAATCTTTCCATAAAATAATTTTACAATATATATCAGGTCATTTGGCTATATGTAATATGATAAAATAATCTTACTTCTATGAATTTAGGTTAAAAAAATTACTGAAAGGAGGACAAAGGTTTATATAAAAGGAATTCTTTCAGAATTTCTTCTCTGGTGGTGGGGGGCTTCACACATGCTAGAGCATGTACACAACCTATACCTCCAGCCTCACAGAACTATTTCAACAGTGAAAGCGTTAAAATAATACAACAATGATGGGAGGATTACATAAATTATGGTTGTCAATAAAGTGGATTATGAAACCTTACAAAATTTTTCCAAAGTGTTATTAATGATATGGTAAGGGAGCTCAGCATGGTGGGACACACCTGTAATTCCAGCGACTCTGGAGGCTGAGGCAGGAAGATGGCAAGTTTGAGGTCAGCCTCAGCAATTTAGTGAGTCTCTGTCTCAAAGTAATAATAAAAAGGGCGGGAATGTCGCTCAGTGGTAAAGTGACCCTAGGTTCAATGCCCAGTATAAAAAAAAAAAAAGTTTAAAAAAATCTCTTTTAAAAAAAGATACGGGGGGCTGGGGATGTGGCTCAAGCGGTAGCGCGCTCGCCTGGCATGCGTGCGGCCCGGGTTCGATCCTCAGCACCACATACAAAAAAAAAAAAAAAAAAGATACACAATGTACATGTATGACACCCACTTAAGGACCTCCGCTGCTCTCTGAAGCAGAAGATACCTCCTATTGCGTGTCCTCTTTCCACACCACTCACTGTCCCTCCCACCACAACCACAGTCACCTCCCCTTGGTAACACACTGATGCTGCTAACCTTCATGCACACATAACTGAGCTCCACTCAC